TCTCTCCCTTCCTCTCTGTAAAAAATCAATAAAATATATATATAAAAAAAAAAAAAAAAAGACAGAACGCTCCAGTTTAAGAAGGCCTCCAGGTAACCAAAAGGCAAGGGCGCAAGAGGCTGTGCCAAACGCGGGCGGCGTGAGAGAATGGCAAGTTAGGTCTGGAGAAGAACAGCTTCCAGGGGAGCGAGGTAGAAAGGAACCCCGAGGGCTGCCTTAAGCATTTGAAAGGCTGCCCTGTTACACCTAAGTTGTCCCTTAAGACAGAGAAATGAGACCTACAGGTAAAGGGAAGAAGACAGCCTTGGGCTCCTGACATCATGGCAGTAATTGCAACAGTAACCCACTGCTTGCCTACTATGCCCCCCCCACCCCCCACCCCCGGATTAGACGAACAGAAGAGTTTTACAACCAAAGCTGAACAATAGCGACATCTCTTCCAGGATGTTCTAGGGGTTAAACGATAGCCTGTATTTCTTGCATGGTATGAATCTAGTTCCTGGGCCTTGCAGTCTTTGCTGGCCCTGACACCAGATGGCGCTGCCTCGAAGCCGCAGACCAGTGGCATTTCTGGGGCTTGAAAAAGGAGGCACAGTGGCCACGGCTGGAGTCCCCCCCACCCCCACCCCCACACACACAAAGGGCAGCCGGTGCTCCTGTGACCCTTCCCACGAATTTACACTAGTGCCACCAGACGGACTGGGCGTCCAGCAAAGGCTTGGGGGAGCATTGCTGGCATCAGCCATATCTTGGCATGGCTGACATAGCCAAGTGATGGCCTCCACTACCGAGGAAGGGAGGAGACCAGGAGCCCTCCCTCAGTCCCCAAAGCCAGTGCTTCCCGACCAGTGCTTATGGCAAAGTCCCAACGCCTGAAGCAGAATGCAAAAACCGGGGAGATGCTCTACCTGAGGGCGACCCTGACCCTGAGAAAGTTCACTGAGACACATCCTCAGGTGCTAAGCCATTTCCTTCCACAGGTAAGGCCTGGCGGCGAGGAGGGGGCAGATCTCCTTTCGTAGCAGCGCACTGACTGACGCAGGGAACCGGAGCCTGCAGAGTCAGACGGGAAACCCTACAGGACAAGTGACCTGGTTCCTTTAATGACAACCCAAAAGCTGCTAGAAAAGAAACCAAGAGAAAGAGGAAGAGGAGGAGGGTCACCTAGAGATTATATCTTGAAAGACGGATCCACCCATTGCCATGCATAGACCTGATCTGGATCCAGATCCAAACAAACAAAATTAGGAGATAATGAGGGACAAGTGAACACTGACGATCAGATCGCACTAAAAAAAAAAAAAAAAAAAAAAAAAATGCTGCTTTTCTTTAGGTGTCATGGTGGTACGATGGGTACGTTTTTCAGGAATCCTCTTCGGAGATGATCCAGAAATTACATTTACAGATGAAAAGCTCCACTGCCTGGCTTTTCTTCCAAACAACCCAGCGTGGGTGGGCAGTGGGGGTTACGGATAGACAGAGACTGGCCACCAGGCGACAACTGTTGGCACGGGTGGTGTGGGATCCTTCTACTGCACACGTCCCCGTAAGGAAAAAGCTGAGATAGAGAAAGGACCCACCACCCAAATGCGTGGACTCCGCGGGCCTCCACCGCGGGCCTGTTGGAAGGACCTGATGGGGAAAGGCTGACACTTCCATTCGGTGAAGCAACTTATTACTTTCAGGTTGTTCTTCTTTCCTGGGTTAGGAAAGGTCTGGAGATGCCGGTTCACCTTCAGAACCTGAGGAAGCTTTGGAGATAGTCCGCCAGCGCTTCCAGACCAGCTCGGCCCTCCTTCCTCACACAAGTGGAGGCCTCCTGGCCTCACGCTCATCTCCACCTCTGGCCACCTGCCCTGGGACACCCGCTCTGGATCGAAGGACATCACCAGACATGCACCACCTTCTCCTCCCCGCGGCAGTGCTCTCTGACCCTGCTCTGCCTCAACTTCCCCTCCTAAGTGCGGTAAACGGCAAGATTCCTAGAAGGAAGGATGCCCTCACGGAGGACACAACACACAACCTTTTGGACCCCGTATGCTGGGAGCAGAGCTCCCGACATCACACTTGCGTCCTTTGTCCCCTCTCAACCATGCCATCTCTTGAAAGCGTCATGCGAGGCAGAACAAGGGCTCAAGAAAGCCGCGATGACAATGGCGGCCAGAGGCGAAGCCACTCCCCCACACTTTCCACCATGTCAAGTTGGCTTGTCATCAAACCCGGCACCATCCGCTCAGCCCAGATCAGGTTCTTCAGCCCAGTTTTAAGGAAAGAAAACACTTCTTTTAGAGCCCAAAGTAATGCTTGTCGGAGCCCTGGCCACCCCACCCGTTCCCCCAGTTCATACTGGGAGGAAGAGCAGGCCTGCGGGTATGAGCGTGGAGAAGGCTGGGCTGCCTCACTGATGCCATTTGGGGGTTCGGCCAGAAGACGTTTCCTAGCAAACTGGGGTGACTTGGAGAAGCCGTGCCTGCGTCACACCATCCCGAGACCATCTACCCAAGGCCCAGTGGTGGCCCACGCCACACCAACTCACCCTCACTCTTTCAGGAAAGCGCCCTTGAATTAAAGCAATTCCAGCAAGAAAAGCCGTCATTGAAATTCCCTGGAGTTCCAGGACCTGAATTATAGATACATTATTTTTAAAAATCCTTAGTTCTCCGCTCAGCTTTTGCCAAGGAACTCAGCCAGGACAGAGGTGGCTGTGGCTGCAGCATGTGATGGGGCAGCATGAATTCACTCATATTCCTGGGCTGATGACCTCATGACAGCTGGGGGCGGATGGGGACACCTCTCTTCTCCTGACATCTGCCTGGTCAGTTCAGGAGAGAGGAGGCTGGCCCCGAAACAGCCTCTTTCCTCGCACAAACTTCACCCGACCTCGGCCCCATCCGTGGTGGCAGCAGTCAAGAACTTGGCCTAAAATAAAGGAGGCCAGGAACACAGCTCAGCTCCAGGGGCCAGCGTAGAGAGCGGGCAGGAGGAAACCAGCGCAGGAGGAAGATGCATATTGATTTCTGTCATAGAGACCCTGTTTCTAAAATCAAAAGGTACAGAAACCCGCATGGAGGAGGTCCCTGGCAGACACAAGCTGGCAGCTCTAAGCCTTCCCCAAGCCGCCTCCACCACCACTAGGCACACACACACACACACACCCCTCTGACTTGCTGTATAGACAGAGAACGAGGGAATAACTTTTTAAATTTCTTTGGTCTCTTTTTCAGAAAGAAAAAGGATGAACAAGGGAGAAAGCTCGCAGTTGGTCATTCTTCATGAGGATTCATGATAGTCACAGGGGCAGGTGCAGGCCTAGAAAGACCCGCAGAGGGAGGTGGAGTTGGGCGGGGGTATGGGGGCCTTCTGCCTCTAACCAACTACCAACCCCACCTTTCAGGACAAGAGACAACGAGTAAGAAGAGAGGCCTCAAGCACTACCTTTTCCTCCCCCCGCTTAATTCCACATATAAACTTTCAGTCGAGGTTCCATTCCTGACACAATGCTGAAAGCTCCCCAAAATTTCATTTCTGGATTAAGTCACACCACTCCTCCCAACTTCCCAAAGAGGCAAAGGGGTGACCACAGCAGAAAAGTGAGTTGCTTTTCTTTTTTGTGAATGAACAGGAAGGAAGACACACACACACACACACACACACACACACACACACATACTTGCGAGGAAAGAACATTCACTCGAGTTGAAGTTAAGCCACATTCTCTTACATTCGCATAAAGAGAGAAAGAAGGAAAAAATACTGGGATGGTGGAAAGGAAAACACACACACAGAGAGAAAGGTTTGGTAGCCCTCTCATTACAAGTTGGTTGGGCATAATGTAAACACACTTCTGCCTTGCTTAATCACAGAGTGCCGCCCATTTAGGTTTCAAAGGCGGCAGTAAATTGGGCGTAGCTGAGTGGAGGCTAAAAATTAACCAGCCATCTCTGTTTCAATTTGTAAGAAAACAAAAGCGGAAAGAAATTATAAAAAGGGAAAGGGGGGGTAGGGAACAGAAGGGGAAAACTGAACCACCCTGACCCAAAATGCAGAGTAAAATTGGAAAAGCAAAGAGAACTGGAACTACTTGGAACAGAAAAAGAAAAGGAAATTTTACAGTTTTTTTGTTGTTGTCTTTTTTACTTTCTTTGCTTCTTTAAGATCTCTTCCGTGCTCCCTGGCATGCCTGTGCCCCAAAGCCTCTCTGCCCGCCAGCAGAGGTGCAGGGGGTGTGGGCACCCATCCTGTTTTCTGGTCACTTCAGCGGAAAAGAAATCAGGTGAAGGAGAAGAGCATAAGACACCTCATGCTCCTTTTCACTCTCTATGCAATCAGATGACTTTCTTACTCTCCGACAGCCAAACCCCAGCCCAAAGAGCTCCTGCCTGGGCATCTGGGCCCCAGAATCTGCCCACCTCTGCCTTCGCTCCTCTTCTCTATTCCTTCTGTCTCGTAACCGGAGGTTTTACACACCCCTCTCTCCACCGAACTGCTGCCCACCCCGCTTGTGCCAAATCCGGCCTTCCCTGAACTTGAGGGGAAGCGGCAGGAAAGCCAGCACCTGCCCCCAAATACTTCTTTTGGCTCATGTTAAATCAGAGCAATGAGTGGATTTTTTTTTTTTTTTTTTTTTTTTTTTTTTTTTTTTTTTTGGTGGTGGTGTTTATCACAAACTCTCACCATTGCAGGTGATTCTGGGACATCATGGCCCCAGTCCTAAGCCCTGCAATGTCTTTTGGGTAACATGGTCCTGCAAAGATGCAGATGCACGAAAATCGAAAATCAGAACATGGCAAGGGAGCCAAGGAGACAGAACAGAGAGGGTGGAGGGAAACAGAAGGAAAACGGAACATCCGGCGTGCTGCAGGCCTGGGCAGGACAGGACGGGCGCCCTGGGTCGGTCCTTAGGGTGTATCATTCGGAGAGAAAAGCAACAATAAACAGGACAAATGCCAGCAAGTAAAATAAAATGGGGGTTGGGGGTGGGGGGACCGAGCGTGACCTACCCGGAGTGTGGACAAAGTAAGCCAGATAAAGATCCAGTTCTTTGATTGTGACTCCAATGTGGTGTGGCTGGACGCACAGGCCGGGGTTCGAGCACTGGGGCGACTTGTAGAGCCGCTCCCCGTCAGTACTTTCCAGGGGGATCCCCTTAAACAAAATCACCATGACCAGGTCCAGCCGCCACACCTTGTCGGCCTGGCGCAGGCAGTCAATCCGCCGGATCTTGCCCTTCTGGTCGGGGTTGGAGAGCACGCAGCACGGGGGCTTCTTGCCGGTGATGGTCAGCACGAAGTCCTCGCGGAACTCGGGCCGGATGTCTTTGCGCAGCTTGGCCAGCAGCCGGGACGCCCACTTCTGCTTGATCTCGGGCTTCTCGCCCAGCAGCTCGTCCTTCACCGCTCGCTCCTCGTCCTTCGACATCCGCTTCTCGTGCTTCTTGAAGTACTTGCGCTTCCGCGCCTGCAGGTTGAACCAGGTGTAGGAGAACGCGCGGACGTGAGGCAGCAGCGCCTCGATGAACGGGTGGAACTCATCCTGCAGGCGGCAAGCCGGGAGCATGCGGGGCGAGGGAGGACGGGACGGGAGGAGGGGAAGACGGGGTGAGGGGGAAAGAGAACGGGAGACACGCGTTAGAAGGGGACGCAGGAGAAATCCCCTTCGCCGCCTCCTCCTCCTCCTCCTCCCACCCACGGCGATTTCCTCTTGCGATGGTTCTACGAAAGTGCAGTCTGGAGGCACCACCAGCCCGGCCAGCCGCCTGCGCCCATCGCAGCCTCAGCAGCCAGACAGAGGCACCGGGCGCCTGAGCGCACACCTATTCTCTCTCTCTCTCCCCCTCACTCGCTCACACACACGCGCACACACACGCGCGCACAGACAACGTTGCGGTCCACACACACACGCTGCTGGTATCCGCGCCAGGCTCTGTCGCGCCCATGACATCTCCATGTTCTCTCGCAGCCTGGAACGCGTGTCGGCGCGCCCCGACACGGGGTCCGGTCTGCACGGGCGCCCGTGGACGCGCACTCGGGGCGTGTGGGTGCCGCCTCGCCCCCAGCCCCAGCCGGCTCGTGGCCACCCCCAAGGAGAGAGAACATGCCATCCGCCAGCGAGCGCGCGAGGAGAAGGCGCTGGCTGCCCCCTCCCCAGCTTGTTTTCATTCTCTCTTCTCCGGCTCCCATTGGAACACCCACCCCAGCATTAAAAAAAAAAAAAAAAAAAATCAGATCGAAAAGCCTAAATATGTGATTCCAGCTTTGTTACCGACACCGATACTAATGTTAATCGCAGTCATAAGGAACAAAACACTCCTTGTTAGCACAAATAAGGTGGTTGTCTCGGCCACATGAGGGTTAAAAGCTACGTGGGGCGTCCCGCGCCCCGTCCCTACTGACCCCTTCACCCTCTTTCCCACTCAGTCAGGTGACAGAGGGCCGGGCTCTCGCTTTGGGTTTTTTTTTTTCTTTTTTTTGCTTGTTTGCTTGTTTGAAGTTTAAATAATAATGGATATCTGCTTACAAAAATAAAACTGGAAAAAATTAAATAATTACCATGGATCTGAAGCACCCGGCAAAGCCCAACGCCCGATTCTGAGCTTCTGGACTCAACAGAGTTGTGAGTTGGGGGCGGGTGGGGGGAGGGGGGAGGAGGAGGAGCAGGGGAGGAAGGTAAATGTTTTAAAGGGGGTTATTATTGGTGTTCTGGGGAATAGGGGCCGGGCTTGGGTGGATTCTCAAACCCTTCCCCCCCCCCCCCCCACGCTCCATTGCACAGAAGGGGAAAATTAATATTTTTTTTTGAAAAGGAGCAAAAAGAAAGAAAGGTCAGGGATAGCAAGCAGAGAGAGGGAGCAAGCCGGTTGCCACACACAGCAGGTAAACAAAAGCCAACAAAAAAAAATTCTTTTTTTCAATTTCACCCCTTGTGCATCCCATTCCAGTTTTGTAAAACAGAGAGAAAGATGCAAATTTTAAAAATCAAAACCTACTTCCCGACACCCCCCCCCCCACCCCACCGCATAACACACCCTACCCCACCCCCCTGCAAAACAAAACAAAAACAAAAACCAGGAGAGGGAAAAGCAGCAGCTGAAGAAAAAGGCTTTCGGCTTTGGCAGCCGCACAGGGTGTAAACTTGGAGCTGCTTCCCTCCGCCTCTGAGCCTGATCGCAGGCGAAGGGGGAGCTGCAGATCCCGGGAAAGGGGACGAGTTCGGACCGGCTGCAGACCGTGGCTGGCAGACGGATGCCAAAGAGAGAGGGAGCGAGGGAGGGAGGGAAGAAGAGAAAGAGGGAGAGAGCAAGGGAGATGGAAATGGGATGGGGCCGTGTGAGTGTGTGTGTGTGTGTGTGTGAGTGTGTGTGTGTGTGTGTGTGTGTGTGTGTGTGTGTTGGGTTTTGGATTTTTTTTTTTTGCTTCCTTTCTCTTTCTCTCTCAAACTCCCTCTCTCTCCCCTTTCATGCTCAATCCCCATCCATTTGCTCTTGCCAAAGCCAGTAAAAGGGGGGGAGGAGGAAGAGAGAGAGGGGAAGAGAGGGAGAGAGAGAGAGGGAGAGAGAGAGAGAGAGAGAGAGAAGGATCCACCTATTTGGCAATGAGACACCCTCGAGCAGCCAATGGCTGCGTCCAAGGGGAGGAGGCGAGCCGGGAGGGTGGGGAGAGCCCCCGGCAGTTGGAGACCAAAAACAATTTGCCCAATCGACAAGTTCACGTCTAATGAACAAGCGAAGTCCAGCAGTTATGAATTTTTCATTCCGGGCTCACCCGGGTCCATTTGGCAGTGGCCACCCAGCACATTTGGAGGGGGGGGGGGGGGGGCTAGGATCAAGGAAGACTCGGAATTTTTTTCTTTTTTTTTTTTAAGCCAGAAAAATAAATAAATAAAGGCTTGACTCTGAGCAGGCTGGCGGGCGGGCGGGCGGGCGCCCCAGAAGGCCTTGGGGAAAGCAGCTGCGCCTTCTCCCTGTGTTTTGGTTCCATTCTCTCTCAGCCTGCAGACTCTCCCTTTTTCTGGTCCGATTTCTTTTTTATTTATGGAGAGCACAGGGGCGAGTGGAAGTTCTCCTCCTTGGCCACACACACGAGCGGGGCTATGAATAGAAAGAGACGAAGAAAGGGAGGGAGCTCGGAAAGTGTCGATGCCAGCAGCACTTCCAGGGCAGGGACCTGGCGCCCAGGGGGCAGCCATCCGGGCCACCCCTTCGTCCTGGGGCTGCGGCTCTCAGGAGCACTCCCAGACCAGGCGCACCCCCCCCAACCCCGGGCCCCCTGAACACCCCCCTCCCCAGCCCCCAGCGAAGTCGGCTGCCTCCCTGGGCCCACACCCAGCCACGCAAGCTCCATTAACGGTGGCAAGGGATGCCAACGCAATGCAGCTCGGCTGGAGAAACTGCAACAGTTTATGAAAATAGCCTCCTGTCACAGCGCTCCACTCCCGCCGACAAGCACTCCGTGCAGCCACAAACACAACAGCCAACCCCGGGGAAGTGACAAAGGCAGGAAGATGGACACTACTTCCCAACAGTCATCGAGTCCTACTGACACCTCCCCCCTCCCCCCACCACCCAGATGCTCAATTCTTTGCTTTTCCAGCTCTGTCCCCTCCACTAGACCCATATTTAGTGTTTCTTGGTTGGAGGAGGGGAACACTTACCTGTCCCCCAATTCAGTTTATACTAAAGGGCCCGAATCATATGGAGCAAGGTGCAAGAGCATAAAGTAAGAGATCTACAAGACGGAGAGAGGGCTAAAAAAGGAAACAACAGCACAGCAAGGAAAGGCTCCGGCAGGAAAAGTGAGACAACGTTGGGGAAACCGAGTCACAGAGCAGAGGCTGATGGGGAGCTCCTGTCCCCCCTCTCCCCCCCCCCCGCCCCACCCCTGCTCTCCTCGCAGGCAGGAAGGTCAGAACGAGGGAGTCAGAGGCTCCCGGGGAGGGACGATTGAGCAGCCCTGCCGTGGTAGGCCCTGGAGAAGCAGTCAGGAGGAGGCAGTTATTAAAGGAAGAGCAGAGAAGGAGAACACGGAGAGGGAGAGACTGTCCCTGCTCTAAACCATCCCCATAGCTGCCCTCTCCCAAGGTGAGGCTCAGCCCTCGGCCGGCCACGGAAAAGAAGGGTCGCTGCCCACTCGTGCCCCTTTCTTCCCCACCTGAAACCCTGTGTCTGCCGAAAGGTTGGGGGGGGGAAGAGCGGGGTGGGGTGGGGACACACAAGTAGCCAGCCCCCAGACTTCCACTGAACCCTGACAATGGGAAAGGTGCCGCCCAGCACCTGCAACCTCAGTCTGGGCCCTGAATGGTGTGACAGGAGCTCTGCGGTGGCTGACCCCGGCTGCCAGGAAGAGGTGAGAGGGCAAGAGGCAGGCGTCATTGCCGACAGGCCCCTGGGGTTGGCATTCAATAATTAACGTCCTGTTAATAACCAGCTTTGGTCCAATTAGCCAAAGATGTTAGCCGGGTGACATAAGATACTCTCTACCTTGAGAGAAGCAACCTTATGTTCTAAAGTCAAGATGAGATGGTAGAAACTACAAGTGAGTTTATGTTTGTCACGGGGGTGTTTTCTGGTATTTTGATTTACACTAAATATTAGGCACTAGACAGAAAATGGCCAACGTGAGCCTCCTGGAGGATTCTGGCATGTTCTATCTCACAGACCACAGTGCCGGGTGGAGGAGACACGCGGAACATGGTTGTTTCTGAATCTGGTGGTACAACTGGGTAGGTGGTAGGGAGATGGCAGATGGACGGATCCACATAGAAGTTGGGGAGGAGATCCATGATTCACTCCTGGCTGGAGGGAGGGGTCAAAGGTTGATGGAGAGATGGGACATAGAAGTGGCTCAGGAGGGCCAGGGGAGGGTCCCAGGGGAGCCGCAGGGACCCACACAAAGCCCACGGCGCCCCTTCAAGGCTCCTTAACCCGAGGAGCCACAGGCCCTTCCCAGGGAAGCAACACGGAGGGAGAACAATCGTCAATTGTCCTTCTGCCCGTGGCCTTAACCTTGAAGGTGGGCAGAGAGGATTCCCAGGCGTGCTCTTCCCTCACCCGGTTCCCCCAGTGTGGAAGAGCAGCCAGGGTCTTCCGGACGCTGGGGGAGGGAGGGCAGAGGGCTCCCTCTCTCTCCTGTGGGCACACACACACGGAGAATCTCACTCAGGTTCCATTAGAAGCACTGGGCACACCCCTCCCCCTACTGCTGCAGCCCCCCCCCCCCCCCCCCCCCCCCCGCATGCCACTGGTGGCTGCTTTGGGCCCTGGACACGCCCCTCAGGAGCGCCAGACAAAAGGGGACTGTCCCCCTTTTGTTAAGAGAGTGGAGGCTCCTGTTGGAAGATTACCTGTCCCAGACCCAGACTCCTTCCCTGCTCCTCTCCTGCAGCCCCTTCCCCCTGCATGGAGCTCAGGCTCTCAGTACCCCCACCTGAGCCAAGACAAAAAAAAAAAAAAAAAAAAAAAAGCTTCCAAGGAGTCCAGGCTTCTCCAGGAGTTCAAGGGTTCAGGGGATGGAGGGAGCAAGGGAACAGCCAGGCCT